GAGACTCGGAGCTTAGGGCCCCCAAAATCCCTAGAGGTCTAAACCCTGAAACCCTAAACCCCTAAACCCTATGAACCCTATAAAGCCTATAAACCCTATAAACCCTCTAATCCCTATAGGTCTAAACCCTGAAACCCTAAACCCCTAAACCCTAAACCCCTAAACCCTATAGGTCTAAACCCTGAAACCCTAAACCCCTAAACCCTATGAACCCTCTAAACCCTATAAACCGGCTGTGGCCTGAAGCCTTGGCCCAGGCCTGCTACGAGACTGCCGCCTGCCAGTGGCTTGCGTGCCCGCCTTGGAAAGCCCCGAAGGGCTTCGGGGGCTTGTAGAGAATCCTTAGCCGTTAGCCCTAAACCCTAAACCCTAAACCCTAAACCCTAAACCCTAAACCCTAAACCCTAAACCCTAAACCCTAAACCCTCCCTGAATGTAAACCTTATGCCCTAAACCGTAAACAGCTTCCCACGTAAGAGAGCGAGGCAGCAGTGGGGCGACTGTGACAACACCTGCGGCGCCGGCACGCGCGCCCGCGGGGAATCCAAGCACCTTTGGGGTCTTTTGGAGTTTCAGATGTCAGGGTTTGGGTTTAGGGTTTAGGGTTTGGGGTTTAGGGTTTAGGGTGTAGGGTTTAGGGTTTAGGGTTTCGGGTTTGGGGTTTAGGGTTTGGGGGTGAGCGCAGACCCCAAAATGGTAGGTCAATGGTAAGGACTTAGAGACATAGCGGTGGAACGGATGAATTCAGGTCTTATGTGCCCAGATTTTCCCAAACCCCTGAATTAAGGTATATACCCTAATTCATAATAAGGATCCTTCGCATAAAAAACGGGTATATCCTTTAATTAAGGGGTTCTGGAAGATGTGGGTGGTTTCAGGGTTGAGGGGTTTCTCGGGACTTCGATGCTTAGGGTTTGTCATGTTGAGGGGGGGTTCCTTGGGGTTGCAGGCCCAAAGGGTCCTAAGTACTTATATGGGGGGACGCTTCCCCAAACCATAAATCTAATTCCTACTGCAGAACCCTAAACCCTTATACAGAAACCCTAAACCCTACTTCTGCTATGTAGGTACTTAGGACCCTTTGAGAGGGCTTGCGGGCTAAGTTCAGCTTCGTTGGCCATCTCGGTAGCAGCGGGTCAGTCCACTGTATCACGACAAGCTTGTAGGTGTCGCCACGTACACTCGTAAGCCCGTAAGCTCTTAAACCCGTAAACTCGTAAACCCTATAAGCTCCTAAACCCTAAACCCTAAACGCTAAACACTAACCCCCCTTCTCAGGCTCCGTGTCGTGCTCCTCTGGGGGCCCGGATGCCGACTGCGCCGGGCAGCGGCCGGCGGCCGCCGAGCCCTGCTACGACGCGGCCGGGGGCCCGTTCCCCTCATGGTCCACGGGTTTAGGTTTAGGGTTGAGGGTTTAGGGGGTTTAGGGGGTTTAGGGGGTTTAGGGGGTTTAGGGGGTTTAGGGGGTTTAGGGGGTTTAGGGGGTTTAGGGGGTTTAGGGGGTTTAGGGGGTTTAGGGGGTTTAGGGGGTTTAGGGGGTGTAGGGGGTGTAGGGGGTTTAGGGGGTTTAGGGGGTTTAGGGGGTTTAGGGGGTCTAGGGGGTTTAGGGGGTTTAGGGGGTTTAGGGGGTTTAGGGGGTTTAGGGGGTTTAGGGGGTTTAGGGGGTTTAGGGGGTTTAGGGGGTGTAGGGTTTAGGGTTAGGGTTTAGGGACCTGTAAGATTTAAGCGTCCCTTCGCCCTTGTGGGGGTCCCTCCTTATACCCCTGAATTCCCACGTCGCGACCTGGCGGGCGTGTGGCCCCTTTGGGTAGAGCTACCGGTAGCAAGAAACCGAGCCCTCAGCCAAGCATCGTACACCTTGGATCCTAAACCTTGTAGACCTTAAATCTGACACGGAGCCCTAAACCTTTGACTCTTAACCTTCAAGCCCTAACCCTAAACCCTAAACCCTAAACCCTAAACCCTAAACCCTAAACCCTAAACCCTAAACCCTAAACCCTAAACCCTAAACCCTAAACCCTAAACCCTACACTCGGTCATCCAGCGAAGCAGAGGTCGGCTGCCGGTGGGCCGTGGGCGAATGGAGTGCCTGCCTTTTGGCAGAGATTTATTGGCCCTGATTCCCTTTTTGTGAAGGGCTTAGGGTTTAGGGTTTAGGGCTTAGGGCTTAGGGCTTGGGGCTAGGACCCAGAGTAGGCCCTGATTCCCTTTTCTGGTTAAGGTTCCCGTGCAAGCCCCTTGAAACCAAACAGGGCATCCTTTGTATTCCCAGGTTACTCTATGGTGTAGTTGAGATATATACTCCATTCTGGGGATTTCTTAGGCTCTCTTTTGGCGCAGGGCTTCGGGCTTAGGATGTCGGGTTCTGGGATTCGCTAGCCCAAAACCCACAACAGAACAAACACGTCCCTTGCTAGGGTTTAGGGCTTTAGGGGTCTTACAAACTATAGGGCTATAAGGAGGGACCCCTACAAAGGGACCCTTCGTCTTATTCTTTATAGAGCCCCCATGGTCCCTTGAAAGCCCACAAACCCGAAGTCCCCAGGTAGCTCGGCCTGTGGGCCTGGGATGCGAACCCGGTCGGTGTGCCGGACTCGGCCAGACAAGTTTGTTTCTTTTTATTGGAGTGAGTTTTGTTCAATCGTTTAGGATTTTGGGGCTGTTAGGTTGTTTAAGGGGTTGCTGAGGGTTGCTTTGGAGGATTGCTCGGAGGTTGTTTGGGGGTTGCTTAGAGGGCTTCGGGTTGTTTGGCTTTCGGGCTTTGGGACTTGGGGGTTACAGGCGTTCTTTTTGAGGCGCAGAGAGTCTTCAGGGTGTGGGTGAATAGACCTGTTGGGGGTGGTTTGGAGGCTTTTGGGGGTTGAGGGTGTTCATGTTTAGGCATCTCAGGGGTTTCAGACCTATTTTCATGTCTTAGGTGCAAAGGCACCCCTTTTGGGGGGGTTTAGGGTCCCTTCTAAGCCCCTGTAAACCACAATTCCTTAGCTATTCCTTGGTTCCGCTTGGGTCTAGATGACACTGTGCCAGTCCGATGTCGCAGGGCATTGTTCTTTGGGGTGCTTTACTGTAACTTTAGATCCTTAGCCTTTTTGGGTTTATTGGGTTTCTTAAGAAGGCAGCTAAACATTTAATTTATAGCTATCCTTCTGAGTGCAGCCAAGTGTTCCTGGATGTTTGTTGATCACCCCTGCTTGGCTTCAGCGGTTTGGGATGTCAGGGCCTGTAGAGCTCAGGGTATGTAGGGTTCAGAGTTTAGGGCTCAGGATTTATGTAGAGTTTAGGGCTTAGGATCTATAGAGTTTAAAGGGTTTAGGGTTTATAGAGTGTAGGGGGTTTCTTAACGGTTTATAGAGTGCAGAGTTTAGCGGTTAGGGTTTGTAGAGCTTAAGAATTAGGAAAGGCTAAGCCCCAAGCCAAGTGGTTCGGCCATGGGTGCCGAAGTCATCTTTCATGCTAACGTACCCTAAACCCTCAACCCATAGCCCCCTTGTAGCTCTACATCTGGGAGGCCTCTCCCCTCTAGGCTACCGTGAGGTCTAGGGTTCAGGATGTCAGAGTTTAGCATCTTTTTCGCTTTTTGTCCTAAGCTCGAAGACCTTAAACCCGCCGAGGACTTGCCCCTCCGGATGGCCAGAGGATTGCAGCGCTGTTGAGGTCCCCACCCCCCCCCCCCCCAGCCCATTCTGCGGCTTGCTCTTTCGTTTCGCGGGGGCCCGAACTTTCCTCAAGATGCCTACAGTCTACAGCCTCGAACCTCAACCCACCTCAAACCCTAAACTCTGAGTCCTTAACCTGAGCTTTACCGTGGGGGCGGGGGGGTGGTGGGGAGGAGGACCAGTTCTCCAAATTTGGGTCTTCTGAGGGGCCACATTTTTGGTGACAAGCTTGCGTTCAATCCTCGAGTCTTTCTAAATATGTCTTGTTGGTTTAAGTATCCCGTAGGTACTGTAGGGGGTGGGGGGGTAGGGGGTAGGGGGTAGGGGACTTCAGGGGTAACTCTACAGGGAGCTCTTGGGATGGTCCAGCACGAAAGATCTGGGCGTGGGGAGCGCCACCAGGCTGGCCAGAAGCAAGCAGATTGCATTTTTCTTCGGGGCTGTTCGGAGAGCCCGAAACCCTTAAACCCGAAAACCCTAAACCCTAAACCCTAAACCCTAAACCCTAAGCCCAAGCTTCTAAACTCAGATTCCAGTCAAGAGCCGCCGGTAGCCGTAGGAACTTCATTAGCCTCGATGTGAGCTCCCTGAACTGAGGCCTTCGGGTTTTTGTGTTATCTGGGCCCTCGAATCTCAAGGCTTAGGGTTTTGGGTCTAGCGTTTAAATAGGTTGAATAGGGTTTAGGGTTTAGGGTTTAGGGCAAGTACCCCAACAGGGATCATAATAGAGGCAGCTGGCCAGTTGGTGGGCTCAAGCAGCCGGCCTGATCAGACGTAGACCTGAGAGTCTGTGAAGACCAGCCGCGTGATGATGCCGGGCTGCACTCAGACAGCCCCGCCTTCAAAGCCCGGGCTTTTCTACAGGGCTTGGGGCGTCCCTAAACTCTCAAACTCTGAACCCCAAAACCCTAAGCCCTAAACCCTGGAGCTATAAGCCTCTGCGCGGTAGGAATGCAGGGTTTCGATCCGAGCAAAGTCTTCGGGCAGCTACGATGCCCTAAAACCCTAAACCCCCAAAACCTAAGCCCCTAAACCCTAAACCCCAAACCCTAAACCCTAAACCCTAAACCCTAAACTTCACCAACAAAGCCATGGCTGAGGCTTTGGGGTCTTGGGGTTGAAGATGATGTTCTCTTATGTATTCTGAATATCCTCAGGTTAGGGTTTAGGGTTTGGGGTTTACAGGGTTTCGGGTTTTAGGGTTTATAGGGTTCAGGGTTCAAGGTAGAGTTTTTTTTTTTCTGCGGGCTTCGGGTTCAATGATGCTTGCCGAGAGTGTTATGACATGTGTCGCTGTCGCGTCTTGTCTTGCCGAGCATTGTCTGCAACGAGCACGACGAACATATGGCTCGTGGACTCCGTCGTGCGCTGTCGCGGTCCTCCTCTCGATCGACGTCGTGCTCCCCCCCTCGATCGAAGTCATCACGTCAGTCACCTCCGTCGCTGCCTACCTGGTTGGTACATCTTTTTCTGAAGCGCATGGGGTGTTGCTGTTTAGTTAGTATCGCACGGACATGTAGCCAGATCGATGTAGCATGGCCTTGCTGAATTAGACGCTAGCACCAGGGTGTCGAGGGTGAGGGCTGCTTCTTGTCAACCCTAAACCCTCAACTGGCCCCAAACTTTTTCCCCAACTTCATCTATTTAGCCCTTGAAAACATTTTATATTTCCCCTTATTGGGTTTAAGAGGGTCATGTTCAGGAATAATTTTGTTCAGAGGGTTTTAGGGGGCCACCCTAGTCGTAGATCCCAACCGAAGCTCCGCAACAAAACGGCACCGAGGACAACCATGCCATCGACCGGTGCGGCATTGGGCGATAGCTCCTTGGCCAGGGTGTTGGGTTAAATATAGGGGTTGGAATATGTTCTAATGGCTTTCCCTTGTGGTCCCTTTGTCACTATACTATATTCACCCCCAAAACCCTATTCTATTCGTTAAGGCCCTCTAAGTATTCAGGCACCTCTATTGGGGAGTTTAGGGTATCGGGTTTAGAGCCTACGTCGCCTTAGCATGGTTTGTTGTTTTTCCATACAGAGAGAGGAGCCAAGGGCCCATACTCCAGAACCCCTCTGACGAAGGTAAACCAGATCTTCCAAAGCCCCTTAATTAAGGAATACGCCCTAATTTATACTAAGGATTCTCATATTTGGGAATACGCCCTAATTTATACTAAGGATTCTCATCATGAATTAAGGTATATTCCTTAATTCAGGGGTTTTGGAAGATCTAGGAAGGGAGCATACTCAAAGGGACAGTTCCGTTAGCCCTGGGCTCTGCGTGTGTGAGTGCGACCTCTCATCTTGGTTGTCGTGTGGCTATGTGTTGAAGTCTGTAAACCCTAAACCCTCAACCCTTTCATATGGTGAGTTCTCTGAATTAGGTCCTTTTTGGGGTTACTATTATCAGGAGGCCCCTAATCTTGAGGGTTCCCAAAATGGACCCGAATGTAGAGAACTCACCATATCGGGTTTAGGTTTAGGGGTTTTAGGGTTCAGGATTCAATCGGACTCAGGACGCGAGCTTCAATTGTATGTTGAAGGCATGGGGTTTGATGTGTGCTGCCCTACCAAAATACTCGGAACCCCCGAAGCCCCTACTGGGAGCACCTTGAGCCCTTAAGCGACCCAAAACCCTAAACCCTAAACCCTAAACCCTAAACCCTAAACCCTAAACCCTAAACCCTAAACCCTAAACCCTAAACCCTAAACCCTTGAACCCGAAGCCCTTAACCTTTATACCCCTTACCCCTTACTTCGCTTTAGGTCCGGAGTTGCTGCAGCCAGTGTCGGCCGCCTTTGAGAACATCCGGCAGGCCATGTTCAAGGCACGGGAGCGCAGGGTTTATGGTTTAGGGTTTCGGTGTGGGTGCGTTGCTTTGTTTATTGGAGGGGCGGATATTCTCGTCATTCTCGTCATTTTTGGGGGGAGGTAAGGGGTTTTGGGGCGTTTGATTGTGGACTTGTGATTTGTTTGATGGGGTTGAGACTTTAGAGTGTCCCATCCCTTGTCGGTTCCGGCATGAGTCCAATTGTGGTTTTAAAGTATGTGCTTCCTTTTTGCCGTCTTTGGGGCCCAAGTATACAGCGTTGAGGTACATGGACCCTGGGGAACCCTAAACCCTAAACCCTAAACCCTAAATCCTAAACCCTAAACCTGAACCCCTCGAGGGTTCCTGAGGAGCTGGCCAGGGATCCGGCTCCAGACGTCACGGCAGAGCAGCTGAAGGCCACGACGTCTCCTTGCTGCAGAAAACAGGGTTTAGGGTTCTAGGCATGGAGAGCACGATGTTTTGTTCCAGCACCCCAAACCTTGAACCTTAAATCATAGATGTCACACGTCCCTGACTCATCCATAGCTAGATCCCGAACCTACATTCAAGCCTTGAGTAAGCCGACCGCCTGGCATTAAAGATGCCGGCCGCGCTGCTCAGGATCTGAGAGAAACATCTCTCCCTAAGCTCTCAAAGAGTAACCTTGCGAGTCACCCTGTACCTCAGGAAATCGTCAGGGTTGAGTTTTGGATAGAACTCCGAATGCTTTTTAGGGGGGGGGGGAGGGGCACCCGAACCACGACAAGACACCTCGGCGCTACAACGAAGGTCTTGGCTGAAGTCCATCGTCAATGCCATGGTTGAACACAACGAAAGCTTCTCGCGCCTGGGTCTCACCACCCTGAGCGACAATGAGCTCCATCGCAACCAGGAGACTCTCAACTCTGAAGAGGGAATTGGGGAAGTTGGGTCCCTGCAAAATCCCTTAGAAGGGGTTATGTAGGTGGATACAAGGTCCCTTTAGCTCGCTCATTTCAGTGCCTTCATAAGCGGAACCAGTAAGACAATGAATGAGCCTCATCGTATGCAGGAGATTGCTCGGGAGGCTTCGCGCCAGCTGACAGTGCTGCTGGCCGAAAGCACGAAGCAGTTCGACAGGAACCACCTGCAGCTGGTAAAGGTCGGCCCGGAGGGACTTTGCCAGGAGTTCCGGGCCAATCTGGCAACCTTCAGCAATTTTCTGTCCCAGTTTTGGGACACCAAGTGGCTTGGTGGACTGGTGCCGCCAGAATTCGCGCAGCAAAAAGACCTGGCGGTGAAACTTATGAGCGACTTGCAGAAGCAGAGGAACCGATGCCGGTTCTGTCACCTGGACTATGTCGGAAACCTGTGCATGAAATGCGACAGGTGCTCCTGCGGCTACATGCGCAACCAGGCCCAGGCCAGAAGGTGCGGCCATTTCAGCGGCACTCCCAACGCCAGATGCAACTTCTGCGGCGAGTATACGGCCCAAGCCGGGACCTTCTGTACAAGCTGCGGAACGTGTCCGCACGGCCAGCAAATCGGTAAGAAGCGGCGGGGTGTGCATCAGTGCGGCTGCCAGGAATTCGCCACCAATGCCACAGCGCAGACTTTGAAGACAACCCTGGTCTCCGATGCAATCAAGCTCGACCAGGAGGTGGGGGCGTGAGTATTGATTCTTCTGTTGCCGGCGCTGGGCCCTGAAACCCTTTAATTAGTCCTAAGTGCTGAGGTCTGAGGGATGGTTATACCGTCTCCCGAGAAAGCTCCTCGAGCGCCTGTGCATTCATCATCACAGGCCTTCGCTCAGAAACTTAAACTCCGAAGGCCCTACAGGATCGTGAGGAAGGTGAGTGAATATACCCGAAGCCTCTCTTCGCACCCCTGAGCTTCGGATGCTGAATAACCAAAGGCCCGCCTGCCGACCCAGAGGAGGCTTGCGGCGAAACCCTAAACCCTCGACCCTAAACTCTAAACCCTACGCCTATAGCCCTAAACTCTAAAGCCTAAACCCTAAACTCTAAACCCTAAACCCTAAACTCTAAACCCTAAATTGGACCTCAAAGCCGAAGCACAAGGGCAACTCTCACAACCCAGAATGTGAGGCTGATGGAGTTCAGGGTTTAGGGTGCCGGGCTTACAGGGCTTATGGGGCTTTGCTGTGCTCTTGGGCTTGAGGGCCAAGGGTTCTGAGGCTCAGATGTTCTGTCAGGGTTTAGCGCAGACGTGTCTACATGCCCTACCTGTAGGCCCCGAGCTGCAAGCAGCTGAATGACCTCGCCGGGGGCCTCATTGGCGCCGTCCGCAAATTTCGTCAACCCTATGCACTCCAGTCTATACACCATGCACAAGCTCGACCTACCCGTGCTTCGCATGGGGTTGCTTCCCGAAGCGTGGGGGATTCTTCCCCAAGTCCTAGAATCCGTTCATATCAAGGCCACGATGGCAGATGCCCTAGCCAGGCTTTGCCGCACAGACGCCAAGGCAGGTAGTTGGGCATTTTGGACGTCGAGGGCTTGGGGGAACCGGGGTGGGCGGGGGGGGGGGGGGGTAAGCATAGCAGTTTAGGTGTACTACTTGTTTTTTGGTTAGCGTGTTTGGCTCAGAATGTTATAGGGGCTGCGCAATACTCGTAGGACGTAGGGTTAAAAGCGCTGAGGGATTTGCTCTCGTAGAGATTTTCGCCTTAGAGTTTGCACGGGACCTAGGGGTTCAGCGTTGAACATGCCACTCATACCTTCGCGTCTGTGAGTGACTGGATGGACGGGTTACAGGGATTATGTGATGAAGAGCTTTGTGTATGATGACCATCAACAAAGACAACAACTCCACTAGCATCAGCGGTAGAGCGTAGGATCACTGATCACAGGCTCAAGATCTTCAACAATGGCTCGACACTGAACACCGTCAAGCAGACTCGTGCTTCAGAACACCGTCAAACGGACTCCTGCTTCAGCAATTTGAATGTTATGTTGGGATGTTCCCCCTTACAGTGACAATCCTTAATATGGATTATAGTACACCCCTATTATAATCCCTATTGAAGGACTAGTAGCATAAAGTGGAACATGCCAAACTTGTTGCTCAAGGGCGGGTTCCGTGCAGAGGCCATGCAGGCTGCTGAGAAAAAGTTCAAACAGAAGATGGAACTGCTGAAGGAGCCTGAACAACTCACTGGGCAACGGGCAGCTTCAGTGGGTTGAGGCTTCGTTGCCGGGTTTTCGGGTTCAAGGTTCAGGCACCCCAACCTCTGAAGCCCAAGAGTTCGATGTTCGCCATACGCAGAGCATCACCAATCTCAATGTACGGAAGCAGGCGTGCCGGGGGCAATACTGGCTTACTGCCGGATCTCTTGTATAAAGGAGCTAGGAAGTTCAAGCTTTTCATGTTTTGGGGTATTTGGGTTTAAGGGTCAGGGCATAAACCCTGAGCACTAGAAACCCTAAATACCCATTAAGCTTCGGTGGTTTCAGGGTCGGGGGTTTCGGGTCTCGGGATGCAAAACCACAACCCCTAAAGGCCCCAAACCCTCGTTGTCCCCCGAAACCCAAGCAGCCTGATCTCTTAAGCCACTAAACCCGTATTCGACCTTCTGTGTGTCCGCGCTCTGCGTTTCTGACCCCCCCCCCCCCCCTTGTCCCCCCAACCATAAACCCCGACCCTGACCCTTAACACGCCACGAACCGCAGGGAGGAGGGTAAACCCACCATGAACCACGGGGGGCAGAGTGAAAACCTTAAACCTTTATCCTTCACCCGAAGCCCACCATGAACCACAGACCATGAACCACCCGGGGGGAAGGGGGGGGGGGGGGGGGAACCCAAAGCCTAAACTCTAAACCAACCATGAACAACTGGGGGGGAGGAGGGGGTGCGTGAGTGCTTGCGCATATATATATATATATACATACACATTATGGCCTTCGTCAAGAATCGCTAGGCCCCTGTTTTTGGTCAATGGCTTGCTTTGGTAGTCATCACCTACAAACTGTAAGTATTGGTGCCTACCGTTAAAGTTCTCATGGGCGGGCAGCAGGAGTTCGCCGAAGCCATCAACGAGGTGCCAAAGGCCCTGGAGCCTTCATCTTCAGGGTTGTGGGGGGCTTCAGGGGTTCCGGGTATGCGCTTAAGATGTTCCCCTTATCTGGGTTGAACCGGGTTCGAGGGCTTGAAGGGCCTACCTCAGGATTAGGGCTTCAGGAAGTGGGGCTTGTGGATCTGTAGGTCTTGGAGTGGAAAGACCTTAGGATAATGTGATCTCAGGGGCTCAGGGGCATGCAGGTTGGAAGGTTGGATGCGAAGACAAGGGTTCACAACTCCTTAGGACGCTTAGCCCTAAACCCTGAAAGGTTGCTTGAGGGGGTTTGCGCTACAGGTAGGGTCTGGGGTGGGCAGGTTTTTTTTGTTGCGGGTAGAACGGGGGGTGCTCTGGGCTTTCGGATGCTGTGGGTGTGGAGGTGGACTGCGTTAGTGTTTAGGGTTGGTTCAGGGTTTAGGGTTCTGCTTGGAGGTTCATGGTACTTAGTAACCAGCTATAACGGTACTTATAACCCCAATTATAACTATATTGGGGCACTTAAGGGGCTTATAAGTACAGTTATAATTGGTTACTAAGTACCATGAACCTTCAAGTGGGTTCAACGGGTTCAGGGTTTAGGGTTCTGGGCTTAGGGTTTAGGGTGTCCCGAGCTTGCCGGAGGTTCTACGCCGCTTTCTCCTCTTCCGCTGCGGAAGCATCAAGGAGGACCCGGCATCGCTGAAAGAATGGCTGAGCAAGGCCAGCCGGATCCTCGACCCTAAACCCTAAACCCTAAACCCTCTCTAAACCCTAATCCATATGATGGTCAGTTTCTGCTACAACGCGGAGCATTACATTCACATGTCGGGTACGCGTGAGGGATGCGTTTTTTTCGTTTTGCCCGTAGTACAGTTCGCATCAGACATCCCTCCACCCAGTATACGCCAGCACCACTTCTACTTCAACCCAGATCTTCCAAAACCCCTTAATTAAGGAATATACCCTAATCCATTATAAGGATCCTCAGTATACATCAGGCTACATTCCTCAATTAAGTGGTTTTGGAAGATCTGGGAACTTATAATATTCTTTGACCAGGTCTCGGGAAAGGGCCCAAACAGAAAGTCGCCGGCGCATGCAAGGTTACGGTTTGAATTGGCCAGGGTTCCGTTTTGAGCGACTAGAGAGCTTGGCCGAACTCCTAAACCTCTAAGCCCGAAACAGTCAACTCTCCAGATTTAGGTCCCTGTACCTTGCGGCCCCTGTGACAGCACAGGCCCTGGCATTCTGTTTTTGATATCCTGGTTCAGAGAACTATGACAAGATAAGTCGAGTCATATCCTTGTGCCTGGTGCGTAACCCTGAATCCTAAACCCTAACCCCTCACCCCCCTACATGGTCAGGCTGAGGTGGAAGACGTCCACCGGCAGCTTGAGGACCAGGGCACGGGTCAACGGTTTAGTGCTGACGAGTTTGCAGGGCTCAGGCACTACTTGGAGGTTCATGGTACTTATTCACCAATTACATATCTGTAGTACTGAAAACTGTGCTTAAAACCATATTAGGGCACACAAGGCGCTTATAAGTGGGTTATAAGTACAGTTATAATTGGTTGATAAGTACCATGAACCTCCAAGTAGTGCGGGTTTGAGGGTTTTAGGGCTTTGGACCTGGGCGGTTTTGGGGGATTTTTGGGATTTTGGAGGTTTCAGGGGTTTAGGCGCCTTGGGTCTTCCCCCCCCGACTCCCCCCACACCTTCATGTGCCGCCTCCAGGAGTTTCGCGACGAAGCTTCCGAGGAGAGAGCCGGTTTCGTAAACGTGAGGCCCTACCTACAGACATCCCTAAACCCTCTTGTTTGGCGATTAGGAGACTAATTAGAGTTTTTTTTGCGAGAGAGAGAGAGACGGAGAGAGAGAGAGAGAGAGATAGAGGGAAAGGGAGAGAGGGAAAGGGAGAGACGGAGGGAGATTGAGGCAGGGAAGTTTAGGGTTTAGGGTTTCGGGGTTAGCGTTCAGGGTTTAGGGTTTAGGGCTTACAGTGCGGTCTTGCTGTTGGCGAAGCGAGGAGAAGATCGCCCGCCGGTTTGGGAAGTCTCGCACCGTCTCGGAAGGCACCTCCGCAGGGCGTTTGGCACAAGCTATGGGTTTTGAGTTTAGGGTTACTGGGTTTAGTGTTTTGGGTCTATAGACCCTAAACACTAACCCTATGGGTGTTTTAAGGGCTTAATGTTTAGGGGGTTAAGGGTTAAGGGTTATAGGTTTGGCGGGGAGGGGGCGGGGTGTGCGGAGGGCGCTGTAGGTCACGCTGCTCTACGGTTTAGGGATGTTAATGGCTGAGGGTCGGATTGTACCTACAGATCCCAAAAATGTAGTCGCTCTTCACTTCATCTCGCGTACCCAAATTTTTCTGGCGGGTAATTACGGCCCCAAACATGTGGGTTGGGGTCTGGGTCGCCCCATCTGTTCTACGCCGTTTCGGAAGGCTCCTGAAGTTGGGGGAATATCGCTCCTCAATCTTCTGACTGGACCCCAAACCCTGAATCTTGCCCCCCCAAACCCTAAACCCTATAGCTTAAACCCTAAACCCTAAACCCTATACCATTTAAACCCTAAACTTAAACATTAAACCCCAGACCCGAAACCCTACACTTGGGCAGGCTCCTGGTCCATGGCGACCTCGCCGCAGGCTGTCCGCGGGTGATTCGGCACGGAAGGCACGGGGTTCAGGACATGCAGGGTTCAGGGTTTGGGGTTTAGGGTTTGGCGTTTAGGGTTTAGGGTTTAGGGTTACCAAGAGAGGTTACTAGGACTGGGCACCCCAAGCCCAAGCCCTGTGGCACTTGGTATACACACTGCAAGCAGATAGGCAGGGCTGAGGTAGGGTCCGTGCGTCTGAAGAGGGTACTGGATTGGTGAAAAGGAATCTATTTATGCCATCGAGGTTCCTTCAGCCCCTGGCCACCTCTTAGCTTCAGGCAGGAGTAGGGATATGCATTAGATTCCCTATACCCGAAACCCTAAATGCTTTGGCACCCAAGCATGCACTCTTGAGGTACATAGAAGCATAAGGGCTGAAAGAAGATGTGGGTTGAGGCTTGAGGGTTTAGGGCAGAAACCCTAAACCCTAAACCCTAAACCCTAAACCCCTTTTTTTTACGTCGAATCAGGGTCTATCGGGTTAGATAGGTGCGCTGTCGACAGGGAGCTCTCGAGGTGGAGCATGTTTTCTGGACCTGTCCATGTACCACATCATTAACATACTTGGGCCGAGACGTCCCTCTATAGGAGGTACTTTGAGGCCCAAGTATTCCTTACTTATAGGCACATGGACCCTTAGGGAATGATACTTAGTATCCTCTGATCTCGGGGTAAAGAGGATCATGTTTTTTTCAACTCTTCGGAGGGCTTCATGGATGCACGTGCACTCGCAAAGAGGCTTCAGAGTTACTACGGGGCGCTCTAAAACACTTCCTGTATGCTTGGCCTATAGGGGCCCAGGGAGAAGCGGCCACAACAAAAAGGAAAGATCCTAAACCCGAAACCCTAAACCCGAAAACGCACCACTTCCTCCCGCCAGCTCTGAGGCGTGAGCCGCCTTCCATGTTCCGGGCTGTTTCCAGCGTTAGAAGCACATGGGCCTGGCGATGTAGCGCCCATGCGCTTTGACGTGCCCACCCATCATTTACAGCACCATTTAGCTTTCGAGCCGAGGGCTCTTAGTTTGGGCAGTTAGGGTTTAGGGTTAGGGGTTTGGGGTTTAGGGTTTAGGGTTTAGGACCATGTACAGAGCCAGCAAGCCTGGCATTGGAAGCAGGCCAAGCGATTGTTCGAAATCTTGCTCTTGCCTTGAATGCATCGTCTGTGAGAACTAAACCTACTAATTGCTTAAGAACCCCTCCCCCCCAAAAAAAACATAATGAACATCTTCTTCCTTATAAGCGTAGTATAGGGATTCTTATTTTCAGCAAATAGTAGAAATTCTTGAACCCTGAATCCCATTCTCTGGCGAGTTTGGCCCAGCTTCCTTCAATTCGATCCGGAAGTTAGGATCACTTGACACATGGGCAGCACGGTGTGCGCACAAGTCGCATTCTTTCAAGCGGTTCCCGCAGATTAAGCGTGCTCCCATACGAAGCAGTTGGCAAACAGAAGGGTTTAGGGCTTAGGGTTTTAAGGTTCAGGGGACACAGGGCATGGCCAGGATTCGATCCACCTACAACTCAAACCGCAAACCCCCAACCCTAACCTCCAAACCCTAAACAATATAAACCCAAAACCCACCCTAAACCCTAAACCCTTAACCCTAAACCCTAAAGGAGCACGGTACTCACAGCACCAGGAGCAGATCCCGAAACTGAGGCCTGAAAACCTGGACATCATGAGACAAGCCTTGGGGTTCTAGGGTTTAGGGCTTCAGGGTAAAGGGTTTAGGGCTTCAGGGTTTAGGGTTTAGGGCACCAGGGTTTAGGGTTTAGATGTTGGGGTTTAGGGTTTGGGGTTTCGGGGTTCAGGGTTTAGGGCTTAGGACTTCAGGGTTTACAAGGGCTTAGGGCTTCGGGCTTAGAAGCGCGCATGCATTCTTCTCATCCTTTGGCTCGTCCTTGCCTCAAGAGGGCCACGTGGCTCCATTATCCTAACATGAACCCTGAAACCCTAAATCCTTAGAGCCAAAACTCCTCAACAAGTACACCCTGAAACCCAAGACTCCCAAACCCTAAGCCCTAACCCGTAAACCGCTTGTCCACCTGTGGCCCCACACCTGTCCCTCACTCTTGCGGGTCGAACCCTGACAAGCCCTAATATATACCCTACAACCCCAAGAAGCAAACCCAAACCCCCAAACCCTAAGCCCTCAACTCCCAACCCTAAACGCTTAACCCGAACCCTAAAAAACAACTAAACCCTAAACCCCAGACCCTAAGCCCTAAAAACCAAAACGGATGGCTGGGGTTTCCGACGCCGCTTTAAGCTGAGCGACCCCCGGAGTCATGGCAAAAACGCGCCATGAGGAGGCGGTGTCCAACTGCTTGGCCAGTTTCCTGAAGGACACAGGGGGGGCGAGGGGTTCAGGTAGTAAAACTTCCCCCACGCCAAAAAGCACATACATAAACATATACATATATATATATATATGTATATGTATAAATATGTATAAATATAATATAATATAATATAATATAATATAATATAATATAATATAATATAATATAATATAATATAATATAATATATATATATATATATATATATATATTAGAGTTTGTAGGGTTTAGGGTTTAGGCTTTCGGGGTGTACCCTAAACCCTAATCCCTAGAACCCTTGAAGCCCTAAACCCAAAGCCCAATAAGGCTCTGGCTGTATGAGGGGCTCTGGAATTTGAACTTGAGCCCAAAGGTACTATAAGGGCTAAGGAGTTAGGAGACTTTATCATCTACTTGGGCCCAAGAACTGATACTATAAAGCCCGCTCTAGGGCCTTAGATCCGAGTTGTTTTAGTTTTTTCTTTTCGGGTTTAGGGTTTAGGGACCTTCTGGGTGCGTGGGTTTACTGGGGAAGGGATTCGGTTATTGAAGATTTAGGGAGTGAAAGGTCTCTCAATCGGTGTGCAAGAGGTCAAATTCGGCACCCCCCCCTGCAAAAAAAGGTTTAGGGTTTAGGGTTTTAGGGTTTGGGGTTTAGGGTTTAGGGTTTAGGGTTTCGGGTTTGGGGTTTAGGGTTTAGGGTTTAGGGTTTAAGTTTGAGAGAGGCAAGAGAGTGGTGCTATGCAACAGTGTTTCTATTTGCATTTTGTTTAGGCTGGAAGCTGCTATTTGCTTGTTCTAGCGGTCCTAGGGATTTCACTATTGGGAAACGAGGCCCCTTATCCTTACAGCAGGGGTGCTCCATCTGGGGACGGGCGCTATATTCCAAGGGAGGAGCCACCCTTGCGGCTATTTTTAGGGGCAGGTACTTTCATCAAACATGTATGCGCAGAGATGGATCCTTGGGGAGGATTTTAGGATGCATGGATTCCAGGGTTTGATGTTATTGGGTTTAGGATGTTTAGGCTTTACGGGTTTTCGGGTTTAGTGTTCGCCACCCCACCCCCGCCCCCCCATTGACGGAACATGGCGCCCTTAAGGACAGAACGAACGCGCCATTCAGAGGGTTTAGGGCTCGGAGTTGTTCAGCAGCGTTCTTCGATCCTGAACTCCAAGAGCCTCAAGTAGCGAAAATCCTACAACAAAAAGGACCCCACAGGGTCAGTTCTCTCAGTTCTCAAGATTAAGGGCCCTTTTTGGTCCACCCTAAAACTTCTTAGAATAGTGATCCCAACAGGGAGGATATTTTTTTCAGAAATGACCACAAGCCCCTTCAGGCCTTAAGAAGCCTATGTGGCTTCGGATGTTCCCCCTTATACTAACAGCTCCTGAGTAGGGATAACAATAGGGGGTACTAGAATCCCTTTTAAGGACTGTCTGTAGAGGGGGGGGGGACATCCTAACCCTAAACCCTTGAACATCCTAACACATAACCCTTTCATCCCTGCATTAGCTCAGCTGTAGTCAACCCACTATCAGCTGGGGGAGCATCCCCAAGCCTAAACCCTAAACCCTAAACCCTAAACCCTAAACCCTAAACCCTAAACCCTAAACCCTAAACCCTCTGAAGATTCTTAGTATAGGGGGGGGAACATCCCAAAGCCTAGCTCCGCACGGACCAGGAAAAGCTTGAGCATCCCGGGCGAGTAGGTGAGCAGTTTGGCCGCCTCCGCCTCCATCGTTTTACCCTAAACCCTAAACCCTAAACCCTAAACCCTAAACCCTAAACCCTAAACCCAGCATCGTCTTTCGGGCTGAGGGTGCGCTACCCCAATACAAGCCCAAAGTCCATTAAGCTGCGAAGCATTTTTGGCACTTTGGGTTGTCATCGAGTCATCGGGCTGTACACATGTGTCCAGGGTGTTCAGGGCGCAGGGACATTGGCGCATCAAGAGCAGGGATCTACAGTCTTCAGTCTTGATGTTTGTCTTGGCCAGGGCCCCCCCGCCCCACAGAAGCTAGGCTTTACCTCTTGGGATGTTACCCCTTTTTTTAACAGTCCTTAAGAGGGACTACAATAGGGGGTGCTACAATCCCTATGAAGGGCTGCTAGTGTTAGTAAAAGGGTTTAACGTCCCAAGTTTCCTGGCCTTTGAACTTTTTTTGCTGCTGCCATCTTTGCGGCTGCGTGCGGTGTCCTGCCCAGCTCCAAGCCTGTGCACATCCTATAAAGCGTATACTACATTCCCCTGGGGAATTATTTCTTTAAACTTTATTTGTATGAAACCCAAGAGGATATTAAACATGTTGTTTTTATTAAGGCTTATTAAGGTTCTAAGGGGAGTATAGTTTAGGTCCCCTTTACCCCAAGTTAGTCATGAAGAAGCAGGCAGGCAGGGTTTGCTTGCGTTTCATCTGCTCGTGAATTCTGAAAAGCTAGGGTAGACTCCGATGGGCCCGGTGAATATAAAGGGATCCGGCAAGACATCCGTATTGACATCCGCATCTCTAGGCAGTGCTTCCGAGCACTTCGCGCCACCAAAACTGGTTGGGTCGAGAAGTGAACCAATGCAGAACTAGCTCGACTACTGCCGCGAGACATGGTCGAAAAATCGCAACTCTGGACCCCGAACCCAGGGTCGGCGGTCAGAGAAGGGCTGAGTTGGAGCCGGATGGTTCCG